CCCCAAAACCCCAAAACCCCAAAACCCCATCTATGAATAAATATATTTTAAGATCAATTAAAAATAAGCTACTATATTTTAAATTTCGAATATTTAAGTCAATTTTATGTATTTCTGCAATTGCTCCTTTGTCATATAATTTGCTAAATATCTGTATTCAGAGTTCTCTTGTACTTATTGTCATTATCATTTCCAGTGATATGTTCCAAGTCATTATTAATTGTACTTGAAGTTTGGATTCTCTAAGAGTCCTTGGAAGTAATGCTTGGCTGTATAACATTAGCTAAAGCCATTAATGTGCTTTTATTATTCAGGTATTCAATCTTTTACTTCATTGAAATCACTCCAAGAGTTGGGTTATTATTCACACCTGGCAAGCCTATGCCTTGAGTTATATTAGCGTTGTTAAGCCTACGTTTGCTCATCAGTTTCTGGTCTAAAATATAGTTAAGGGAGCGCTCTTCAGTGAAGAACTGGCGATAGTAGTGATATTCTATCGAGGGGAAGACTCTCTTGAACTTGCCTCGACGTTTGAATTCCATCTCAGCCTCTTTGATTAGCTGCTTCTCTTCTTTCGCAGATAGTTGCATATGTTTAGTTTAGCCGTATTAAGTGATTACTGCTCCATAAGTAGTAGAAAAGCCATTTGTATCGGCAAGACCAGCTCTTGTAACCAAGTCTTTGCCCATTTAGTTACCACCAGTCTTTGAAAGTTATCGTTTAGTACTATTTGCAGTTGAAGAATCACGTCTAAACCCAGCTGAATTAGTTTGGCCAAGATTGCTTTGTTAGTTTGTAGTAGTCTAACCATACATACCATAGAAAACACCTTTAGTTCTTCCGTAGATCTAATCTACTCCATTAGTTTACTTTCTTTGGTCTAAGGGTGATATGCCGCTTAAAGTTAGTAAATCTGCTATCAAATTACCCTTTATTCGTTGATCTAGAGGAGAATCACAATTAAGTGATGGTGAAAGGTTAACTTCGAGCAACCAAGGGTTGAGTGAATTATCAATCAATATATCAAATCCAAGTAATTCAAAGCAATTAGTTCTAGGGAAAGGAACCTGTGCAGAAACAGCATTGAATATCACACTCTCAGCAGACAGTATAGTTTTGATCACTACATCCTCTATCTTCTTAAATATCATCTGTTCATCTATTCCCTATTCCCTAAAAGCCTTTTTTAAAGCCACCAATGACCATTTGCTTCCAACTCCGTCCTAGTTGGCATCATTATTTGCAATGAAGTTTGGATTGTATTTATTAAGTGAGTAGTTGGTGAGATGAGTATATTTAGATTGCTTTTTATTTCCATGCAAATCATTGGTGTACTTACTCGTGGCAAATCTAGTCAAACCATCTTCATAAATATAAAGTCTTAGTGGGTTGATACTAGTGATGGCTACATATACTCTAAGATCGAATTTATAACCGTCAAAAAGTAAGGGATTGTTAATGTACTCGCTCACTATATGTGGTGTGCCCTTCTAAGGGATTTCAGCTAACTTGTTTGTAACTATGATACCCTTTCCTTGAGAGGAAGCAGCTGGCTTTGCAATCCAAAGCTTCTCCTTGTCTTTTTCCATTTCTGCTTCGAGATAGACAAACTCATTTGGAAGCAAAAAGGTCTTTGGGATAAAATTGAAGTGCTTTTATCCATGAATTTCTCTCATCCTAGACACCTACTTATACATTAAGTCCTTCCTGGTGATGTAGAAAGACTAAGGGAAGTGATTCACTTTCTGGTACTTTGTCATTTATTAATACACAATTGGTTTAAGAGCGGAACAGCTCCATAGTACAGACCAATCTTTCACCTCTGGTGCTGGGACCTCTCTGAAACCGTTATCCTCTAGAGTGTATCTGATAATCTTAACGTCACATTTGTGTAGTTTGAAATAATAACCTCTGTCAGGGGGCTGGTATGGTCTAATTGATATTGGATCTTCATATGGTCTAAACACCAAAAATTTCTTCTTTATTACTGCACTTATTTATTGCTATTATTACTATTCTTCTTAAATTTATTTATCTGATTAATTTGGAGCCCCTTGAGGATTTTCCTAGGGATTATCCATCATTGAGGCTAGGTTTTCTTTGCTCTATTCATTTGAGTTATACTGCAATAGATGATGTAGCTGAGATAGTGGCTCATTCATTTGATTGTTAGTTATCAAGATATTACTGTCATTGCTTGTGACACTAATGAACTTATTTTTGTGATTGCTGATCATACTCAAAGTCTTAGAATCTGGAAATCCTTAGTTTTTCACAATATTCTAAAGAATAGGTCTCCCATATTCAGCCATAACCTGTTCAGTTGTAGTTTCATTGCCTGGCTTCTTAGCAGAGCTCTTCTTTTTAACTCCGCTGTTGACAAGACTTGATTTTTGCTTGGGAGGAATCCCCTGCTAATTATGCCTAATTTAGCTCATGACTCTTTTATTCTAAGTTTTTCTAATTATGAAATCACTTTGCTTTGACTAAGTGTTGCTATTGTTAATAATGTTATTCGCACTTGAGATACTGGCTCCGCCTACAAATGTGCCGTTTTCTGTAGATTTGTAATTTATTTATGATAAACTAAGCTTTTAAGTATTAGGTACAGCCGTTGAAGCAGTGTATTACTTGCTCAAAGGCAACTATCCGTCAACGAAATTGTTATTACTGTTGTTGTCAGTTGGTTTCATTTATTATTAAAGATGATTCATCAGAAATTGATTCGCATTTTAATGAGCCTAACTGACTGTTTCCCTGGTCTCTTAAATGACTAAAAGTGTAAATTAATGTGAACGAATGAGCTACCTGATTGGAGTTAAGATCTAGTCGGAGTAAGCAACTAAGGCTGGGTGGATTTATCGTTTAAAAAGTCAATTATTGAGTCAAGGTCCTCGTCCATTACAACTTTTAACAATTTAATTTCAAATTTATTCTATTCTAAGCATTCAACATTCTTATCTAAAGGGGTTTTGGGGTTTTGGGGTTTTGGGG